GGTTATCGACATAAACCTACCCAATTAATAGTGCTATTGATTTGAGGTCATATCGCCCAGCTCTAGTTCAAGGTGACGTGTATTGTTGGCTCCAACCAAGCTTGGTGTTCTTCATGCAGGCCAAAATGTTTGATCTTATCTGCTTGTAGGTTCTTGATTTGTATGTTTGCTGTGTCAGCTATGGGGAATTTTGGAAACTTAATCCCTTTATTTTTTTCATAGAGGCCAGATTAGACACGGTTGGATTCACCTACTAATAAGGTGGACCTAGAGGCAATTGGTTGCAATGGATTTTGTGTAAAGCACTGGTGTTCAATCCAGTTCCCCCTGAAAATCACTGTCCTTCATTATTTTAGTTGTTTCTCTGCCTCCTGATACTTAGACACCCTTAAATAAATGGGTGATTAACAGACTTCTTCAGCCCTTAAGGGAAAATGCAGTCCATTGATTCAGGTGTGCTGGAGGACACATTTAAACTATGCAGACAATGAGGAACTCAGGACTAGACTCAATTATCTGCCCCCCCCCCCTACCCGCCAATATTACAAGGCATCACAATAAAAATACTTGACTACACATAAATCCATACTTTTCAGGATTGTATTGCATTGATGCAAGATATTTATCCTTTTCCTCAATATCACAATTGTCATTTTGTACTGGTTTATCAGTTTACAAAATGTGAGGGGAAACAGAAAAATATTCATTCATAAGTTTTTCAAGTCTCTATAATCTATGCTTTCAAACATCATGTTTTTATGTGTAGTTAACAAGCATTTTGTTTCATCTGCAGAATCGTGTTGACATTAGTGATGTGGATCCAGATGTCTTTAGGGAAATGATGGGCTTCATTTATACAGGGAAGGCACCAAACTTGGAAAAGATGGCAGACAATTTGCTGGCGGCTGCTGATAAAGTAAGTACCTGTGAAAGGTTAGCAATGTCAGCTCTATTTACGATCGAACATTATCTCCCTTTAACCTTTTATTTAGGTGGAGGATGGAGTTTGGCTATTCCTCTAAAATTCTAAATGAATATTAGTTAATAATCTGAAGAAAAACAACAACTAATGGCTTCTACTTTAGCGCTTGGGAATAACAAAAAAGCTATTATAGATAGAAGTGCTTAAATTAAACACTAATGAATAAAAACTCCCCATACTTCATTTTATGATGCTGTGCATAACTGTTTTAAAGCCCTTATATGTCCCACTAGGAATGTAAAGTATGTTGAAATATCTCAGTGCCTAACCTGTATTACTCTTATGTAATGAGTTAAGACCTGCAGGTAGGAATATTGCCATCTACATCCTTCCACATATGGGTTCTTTGTCCTTTCTTAGACCTTTTTTTAATTATTCCATGGCTAAAGAAAATCAACATGCTGTTGTCTTAGCTGAGCAGCAGGGTCCTTTACCGTCTTCATTTACGAGCAATGCTCTAGAGAAATGACTGCTGGAGCACCTTTATACTCCACAGCTGGAAAACGGCAAGGCAAGGGTTACTAATTAAAAGCTCCTGCACTGCTGATCAATTTAATCCAAGTAAAATATGCACTTTAAAAAGTCTTCAATTATGTTTGATTAGAATAAAAGGTCAGATTTTTCTTCTTATTGTATTGCAGTAAAAATAATTACACAAGAAAGTGTGAAAGGCCCTCTATAAAGCAATTACACACAACAACCATCCATTGTATTTCTTTCAAATTGTAATTTCTATGGTTTAACAAATTTTGAAAGGTTTCATTTATTTTGTGTGATATTTCTCTATATCAGAAGGTTATGGGAAATTTTGAAACCTATGTGGCTACAACACATTGGCGTCTTTATTATTTTCTGGTTGTCTAACTGCATTTACAGACTCTGACAAACCTCATATCAAAAGGCTTAAAACAGCAATGCTAAACAAACTCTTAACATTGGCATTTGAAACATTTGAAAGTTGCTCTTCTTTTTGAAACAGACCAAATGCAAATTAATGTTTGTTTTTCTGGTCTCTTCTGTAATTTTAAAATTGATAGTTTGCATGGAATGTCCGTATTTATGTTGTTTAATCGTGAGACTAAAAAAGAAGAAACTTTGTTTATTGATAAACATATTGATTAGTTTGTATTTTAAATATTCTTTAACGTTTAATCTGCCTTTTCCAATTCTAGCAATACTCAACGGGTTAAAATCCATCTACATTTACATGTGTCGTCATAGGGAATTCCTTTGGTTTGAACGATGTTGGGGTGTAACAGTACACTTATACATGGATTAAATGATGAATAATCCAATTAAATTGATGCAAAATGAAGACTCATCTTTATTTTAAAATACGCAAGGTTGCACTTACCAAGTTGTTTATTATAATATTTTCTTTAATTGGAAAAATGCTGTTTTTTAAATGAAATGCCAAATCAGGATAATATTGCATTGGGATTAAAAAAAGGGGTTTACACCCCTAATAGTTACTGTATCGATGTATTGCTGCCTGAACACACTGTTTTTCCTGGTGATGCTGCACATGGAAGTTTAGTTCCCCCCACTCTTCCATCCCCTTTGAACACATCTCTTTGATAGCCCCTGAAGGGAGCACCTCTTCCTCCACCTCTGTTGGCTTTACTTTAACGTTCACAGAGGAGATGCACCACAGGAGACGCATTGAACATGTAGGCATAACAAGAGGAGCCTACTGGCAAAATAAAGCCATGGGTAGCAAGTCAAATGCTAGCTATATCCAACCTGCACATTTATATTTGAAGGGAATGTTTGTTTCTGGTAACCCAGGAAGCTATTTGTGTGTGTGTGTGTGTGTGTGTTTTTTTTTTTTTCCATTATCATTCTTGGTTTGCAGATAAAGCTTAATATGTATTGCACTTTTAAGCCAGTTTAATTTAGAAAGAAGTTCCTTCTTCTGTGATAATGGTAGTTTAATAAAACATTACTAAGGGATTTTAGATTTGGTAAGCAAGCTTTAACTAAAAGCTGATTTGCAGACATTCTAAAATAATTGTACCTAACAAACCAAATAATGTAGCTCCCAACCTTTCAGTCACCGCTGTATTCCGTTTCCCTCTCTTGCCCCCACTCCAGTATGCTCTGGAGCGTTTAAAGGTCATGTGTGAGGAGGCCCTGTGCAACAGCCTTTCAGTGGAGAATGTGGCCGACACCCTCATCTTGGCTGACTTGCACAGCGCGGAGCAACTCAAAGCACAAGCCATAGATTTTATCAACAGGCAAGTATTGCAAAAAAAAAAAAAAAAAAAAGCCAGGTGATAAATTCCTGCTGCCATTTCTGTTTACCAGCCCTGAATGCTTACCTTTTTATCTCCTTGCCATAGGTGCAGTGTCCTGAGACAGCTGGGCTGTAAAGATGGAAAGAACTGGAATAGCAAGTATGTAATTAGCTGATATATGTGACACAAGATTAATAACACACTCTTATCTCTTACCCTACCAGATGCATTAGAATTCATTGTTTTAGCCACGGCAGACAGAGTGCTGTTTGCCTTTTCAGTTTGAAGCCCCATATCTTTGTATCCAAGTTATTAATAGACTCATACTTGGATAAACCCTGGAAAAGGATTATTGTTAGATTGTTCTTAAAAGGAAGCGGACAAGTTTTTCTTTTTTGATGATGCCGTGCTACAGGACACCTTGAAATGGTGAACTTCTTTTTGTTTGTCTTGCTCATGCATTGGTGGATCCTGAATTAGAGATGGCCTAAGCAGGATTTTCTAGAACCTTTTCATTTCGCTGCTTTTTCTGAAGAGTTGAATTGGCAGTATTGATTTTTTTTTTCAAGTAGCAGAAGGTGACATCTTTGGATTAAGATTTCATTAGAAACAAGATTTTTCTATAAAAAATGATTAATGGTGTTTTAAACAGTCCTCACTATCTTATGTTAGCAGTTAGCAAAGCTAGTGATTGCTTTCAATATTTGGTTATACTATTTATCTATTTAACAAAACAGAAACTGCACTTTACTTGCCCCCCCTTTTACTGTACATACGATACTGTATATATAAATCTGGATGCACTGTATATACTTCTTGCACCTTTACCTCCTTTGTGCACTTTCTGTTGTTTATAAGAGATCATTTAAGAAGTGAATCTCTCCATTGTGAGATCAATAAAGTTTTATTCTATTGAGAACTTAGATCTATAGGTTACCTTAACCTTAAGATTACAAAAGGGTTACTACCTTTTTCAAATATACTATATCTGCAGGCAGGGAGGGTTTAAAACACAAACTAAGAGCAATTTTATGACACTTTGTTCAGGATTCATATTATTTGCTTCAGGTGTTCTCCAGCTCTTTTAAAGCTTGAATCAAACAAAGATTTCTTATTAATTATCAGAAAGAACCAGTGTCCCTTTTCTAGATGATCAAGTTGCTGAATCGGAGCTTTCCTGCATTACCATCTCATTTATGTTTATTGCTTTTTAATGTGTTGTCACGTCTTAGTGTTGACTTCATTTTTTTCCTGTGCTTACAGTCACGCCACAGACATAATGGAGACCGCAGGCTGGAAGTCAATGATCCAGTCCCATCCTCACTTGGTAGCTGAAGCCTTCCGTGCCCTGGCTTCAGCACAGTGCCCACCCTTTGGTCTTCCTAGGAAGCGCCTAAAACAGTCCTGACTGCCCGACTTTATTCCTGGACTATAAAGAAGGGTGTGAAGAATGGGGGTTTTTACAAAGAAAGGACTAGTGAGTGTGCCACTCTTATTTCCACCAAAACTGAAACACACTTGAATAAAGAGGAGTGGAGCTTTCTGACCAGAGACGTGGGGGGGAGGCTGGCACATGGAAGTCTGTCATCTGTGGATTGGAAAACAATTGATTCAATCGGTGTTGCTTGCTTGCTTCGCTGTCTCGTCTGAACTCTGTTCAGCGCGGGAAGCTAGCGAAGCTCTCTTCTACATTTTTATTTCCTGTAATTTTCAAAATGGCCTTAATATATCTGCCATTGCTCTGGAGCTGCTCTACAGCACTTCGTCTATTTTACTCCGTGCCTGCCTTGTCACAAAGACCAGGCCTCCTCCAGGTTGCACTAGTTCCCATGTATAGTCATTTTGATATGGAGTTCTATAGGAACGTAACAAAGGTTTAACTAAATGGGAAATATTATATATTTGTAATGTTTAGCCCGTTTTGTGACTAGACATTAAAAAGCATGAACGCTCAGTGCAAGGTCAGCTCTTTACACTTTTTGAAAATATGCGTATGCCCCATATTGATGGCACCATTTCTATGTAAATGACAATTGAACCATCTTTAGAAGACCAATGTACAAGAAAGTGTGTTCTATTGTGTATTTGTTGGGGGGAGGGGGGTAGTAATCTGCCATCATGAAGACAAGTGTCAATCCATGTATGATGGAAAAGTGTCTGTTTGGCCCAAATATACAAAAAAAAAAAAACATTTGAAGTTTATGGAAATAAGCTCTCCGTCTCCCATTCAAATTACATATTCCAGACCATACATCTGTGAACTCTTCTTAAAAAAATGAATTTGTTCCTTTTAGTATTGCCAACTTGCAAATATATATCCTCAGTATATTGTGGTGAACTAAAAGTGGAGAGACTAATGCATGGTTGTTTTATTGTCAAAAGAAAGTGTCAAAAGTTATGTTTTTAACAACTCGTTTTCTGCAATTATTTGACATCTGTGCAGAATTACATGAATTGAGTATGTGCAAAAAGGTTCCTCTAACATGCTTGGATATCTGTAGGATGCTGAGCATCACTTCTACTGGCAATGTTATTCTGTGTTTCAATAGGGGGGGGTGTTGTCATGGTTATTCAGTCCGTCTTGTATGTAGTGTGGTGTGACAGACACTTCGGAGGATTTTGTAAAGTGAGAGTAACATCATTTTTCTATGATATTGCTCGTCAATCAGCGTCACGTTGAAACTTTGGAAAAATTATGAAGTCGTTGTCTGCAAGAATGCCTGCATTAACCCATTAAAACATTTTCCAGCAGTCTGAAGTGACTCAGCTTCATTAATGTTTTCCTTAACTTAATTGAAGGTTGTTAGGATCTGTTCTACCAGAGGAAGAAGGGTTAAAACCATCCACTGCTTCATTTTATCACTGTGTTAATGGATGGGCATGTTATGTTGTGGTGATTTTACCGTTCCTTTCTCCTGCATATTTTTTTTTTTCCCAATTATAATTACAAAGCCTAACAGGCCTAATCAAAAAGAAATGCACTGAGACTGCACTGTTAAAGTGCCATTGTAGACGTTACCCCCCCCTTTAAAAAAAGAAAAAACAGATAAAAGACTTTTTCCCTCTCTTTTTATGTGAATGCGAGGGCCCAGCTCTAATTAAAGTGGATGCGAGGCCGCTCTTTCCTGCTGGAAGAGACATCTTCATCAGCGGCTTGCTGATCCACGTCCGCCCCTCTCAGCACAGATCCTTCGAAAAGGCCTGATACCATCTCAGCTTCAGGATGCCTCTCCAACCTTTTATCTTTCTCCTTCGCTTTCCTCCACTAACTGTAGTGCTTGAAAGGGAAGGAGCCCGCAGTGGTGCTGTCAAAATTGAAATATTCTCCTGTCGTTTAGATGGTGGCAAATTTTGCACTAGATGAGGCAACAACAGGAGAAACAAAAAGGAATATGTCCGTATTTGTGAAGTGAACTGAACCCACCTGCTATAAGTACATTTATTGGTGTCTGCTTTGAATGAGCACCTCACTAAATTAGAACATCGTTGAATGGTATATTCAGTTCAGTAAATTCATTCTAAAAGGAAGACTAAAATTTGGATATCTCATGCACCCTTTTTACTATTTCAGTTTTTATTCTAATGAAAACCCGAAAAGAAGCTTCTCAGAAAATTTTCATATTTCATTGCAAAACTATTTTTAAAGCTAAAATGTCGACAGATGTATCCCATGGCTCGGATCATGTCTTCACGATCCTCTCCGGGCTTTATCCTGGAGGCTTGTGCATCTTTTTCTGTTGTTTTTTTCCTTTTCTTTTTCTTTCTCGATTAATAAGCTCGGACACAGACCTCTTACCAGCAGCTTCTTTAGCAGTGACCTTTTCTAGCTTGCCCTGCTTTGGGGAGTGTCTGATACAGGCCACTGGAACACTGATGGGATTCTTTACCTTGAACTGTACATCCCTGGGCAGCCTTTATTCATAATATTTATGGTTATCTTTTTTTCCTTTTGTCGATTTATTAAAAACATATTTGGTTTATATAAAATTCGTCCAATTGTGAAATGTAATAATTCTAAATTAAATGGTTCCAATGACTGATGGTAACTACACTGCAACACTAATCTAAAAATAGGTGAAAGTGTATTTACCCTTAATCTGAGTAGTTAAATAAAATCATCTACCAATGGAAGTGTTTTTCTGCCTTAAAATAAGATAATTAGAGTGCACTTGGATTAAGAGACTGCAGTTGTTTTTTTATTTTAATTTAATGTAAATGTAAATGAACTTATTCCATTGACAAAGTCTCACTTACCTGTTCAGTTCAAGAACAAATGCACAGTTTAAGAGAAAAAAGTTACTTTTTTGAATGGTTTTATTTTGCAGTGTAATTTAATGACTTCCTAAACCAAAATATAGTTTTACCATATAAATGTGTCGTAGTCCTGTAAAACTTTTTTTTATGAACTTTGATCCATAAAACTACAGTTTTTCTTTTTACTGATGTTTCACAAAGAGATTAGAGATTTATTTTTTTTTTAACTGGGGTACTATTTGCTTTATTTTCTATAAGATGCACTAGAAAAAGGGTAAGGAATGGAGGAAGGGGGGCATGCATCAAGTTGTCAGGGGTCAGAAAATAACCAGGACATGACTCTTAGGGACTGCAGCTTCTGCACATGTTGCACTCGCCCTACTACTAGCCCATGTGGCATCATCAATTGGAGTTAATGTACGTGATGATTAGAGGTAAAATATAGTCCATCTTTTATTTTGTATAAAACATCCTGAGAGCGATGGGATTAGAGAATAATGTGATAGTAATAGCCAAGGAAGTTAAATAGAAATAACGCTACAATATTTTTCCTTTTTTTACTGCTTCATTTTTATTTTACACGTTAAATTTATTGTTGATGTTCTGCTGGTTTCCTTTATTTTATACATGGACAATAACATTGGCAGAAATATTTTTCTGCTCTAAATCTACCATCAGTTTAACTGTTTATTAAATTGTTTATGAAATGTTTATAAAACTGTTGTGAGACTGCAGCTTTTTTAACACGGTAGACCCTTTGGCTTTGGACACTCAGATTTAGCTGTTAGCGTTAGCCTCCAGAACCAAATAAATCTGGATTTATGCCAGGAAGATATACTATAATCTTTTAACAAAGCCTTCCTTCTGACTTGTCCCTTCAATTTCATATCTCATTAGTTTCATTTGGTCTTGAACTCGTTCAGCAATCAATGTCAATTAACCGAGATGTGTTATTTGTATTCAATATGAAGCTGTAAATTATGTAAACTCATTTTATCGTCACATAAGTGGGCATTTTAAAAGCTAATACTCTGAGAAGCGAAGCATAAAAACAGAAACACATATCAGCATGATTTTTAAGGATTTGGATGAGTGCAGGCGGGGAGAGACTTGATGCTGAAGGAGTAGCTGCCTCATGCTGATCAGATAAGAGTAATGGAAGCGAATGAAAAGACCCCTGTCCCTGATGGCCACAGCAAAATGGATGTGCTCCCTCAGGTGTACCTCTGGTATCATCCACGCCTGTGGACACAGATTTATTGCCCATTAAAAAGCTACACCGAAATGTACCTCTTAAAAATGGTGTGTTTATCCTGTTGAGGAGTCCTTTCAGGAATGAAACGAGACAACTCTGAACACCAATAGACCAGGGCAGACTTGGTGTGACAAGATGCTGGTAGCCAATTTGCTCTTAAGATTTAATGCCATAAAGACTTAAAGTGATCCTGAACTATTAAATGTTAAAATTAAAATCCTTTGAATATGAACATGTGTAATCACACTACACACATACATGTTTTCCCCCTTTTTTTCCCTCTTTTACAGGAAACGAACCAAGTGGGAAACAAAAACACAATGTGAAATTACAGAAATGGAAAATAAAGCAGGCTGTGACAATGGGCAGTAGGTTTAACATTTATGTACATGATAGTTCTGATAAAACACCAAAAGCACACATAATGGTAGATCATTTAAGGAAAACTGAAATAAGCTGACATCATTTCCTCTGAAGCCATGGTAAATACATCTGGTTTTAGAGTTACATGTTAAACACACAGCATTGGCACGAGTAAAACTAAAAATATCACTGTACAGTAGAGACTCTGGTTTATCATACACCTCACCTCGCCCAAAAGGTGACAGGATCATTTACAGATGATGGGACCATGAAGTAGCATCAACAGAAATAATTGCAGTGTCATCTGTGTCACATGCCCTAACCTAAGACCCCGGGGTGTGTGCAAGCAACGCAATCTACGGCTTTCTGTGTGATGATGCTTTTCAGCAAAACCTTTTAAAACTGTCTTGGTGATTGCAATGTCAAAGCACATTACACCGTGTACTTACAGACTGGATGTTTTCCACTTTAAGTCTGCCAGCTTAGTCTAGCACGATTGGGAAAAGCCTGATGTCTCAAATATATTCCCACTTCTTAAAATTACAGATTTCTTTTTTTTTTTTCTACCTCAGCCCATTTCTTTCCCTTTTTCAGCTTCTCTTCTCTTGGTGAATAGAAATTCCAAGGCTAATTAAAGCCTATTAAAGACAGGTAATGTCAGGGCTGCTAGGAGGACCATGACAAAGTACTGATAATTGTCTGCCAGACTCACTAAATCCACCTGTCCTGCAATTATTACATCCGCCTCCCCTCCTCTCCTGACACATTAATCCACTGCATGGCTCGCTCGGCAGGCTGATGCCTCAAACTGCATCCTGCAAACACAGATGTTGGATTTCAGACCAGTTTAACACACACACACACCTTCGGGTAATTGGGACAGGAAAATCCACTCTAGAGCTGAAATTTAATGCAGTATTTCTACCTCTTGAACTTTTCCACAAGACCTCAATTTAATTGAGATTTCATGTGATTTCTTTAGATTTATAACACTTTGCTTCCATTTTGCATCAGACGTCACTTAAAAACATGTAGGCATTGGTAGCAGAGGAGCTGCATAGATCCACTGCTCAGGAAGGGGAATACATTATTAGGTGCTGTGCACATGTTCTTGTTTGTGAGCATGGAAAAACAGTAAAAAACTACGTAATAGGTTATCTGTGCACACTGAACTGAGAGTTACTGTATGGATACTTGGTTGTTTGACCATTATAAATTTGTGTTGGACTGGTGACCTGTCCAAGGTATATCCTACACCCTACCAAACACCTCACAACCGAGGATGGATTATCACTATTAGATTTGCACACTACAAATCTAGCTTTCATAAAGCCATTTTTTGAAGGAAACTCTTAAGAAATCTCATGTGCAGTTTACCATAAGTCATTTAAGGTCCACAAATAAAAAAAACACACACTAAAATATGCTCTGGTCACTGTTTTGTCTACATGCAAACCATCTGTGACAAAAACTAACAGTAGAAATTAACTTAAACATACTGTTCTTACAGTGAAACAAGGTTGTGGCAACATTGTGCTGTGGAGATGCTTTTTTTAAGTTAGGAAATTAGAAGAGTTAATTGGAAAATAGAGGATGCTAAATACATGGTAATGCTGGATGAGAACCTGCTAGAGGCTGCCAAAAAGTTGAAGCAGGGGTGGAGGATCACCTTCCAGCAGGACAACAGACCTAAACACAACCCTGGCCAAAGCTCTTTAGTTAGCATTCCTCAAAGTCCAGAGATACTACCAATAAACTCCTACAAAGATTCAATTTAAAAAAGAAAAAAAAAAGTCAAAATTTAAAAAGACGATAAAGACAACTCAAAAGACCTTTAGATTTTACTGCAGTAAAAAGGATTTACATCTTCACCTATGGGAGATTAATGTGGAAAAGTTCAAGCAGAGGGAATATGTTTGCTGAACACTAATTCTGAACGATTTCATCAGTCTTTAAAACAGATTAGATCAATGCATTTAGTCATGTTCAAGGTTGAAATGCTTGGTTATTGTCCTGTTAAGCCATACATGAGAAAGATAACTACAAATGTATTAATCCTTGCTTATTAAAATCTTTAAGAAAAGACACTCGCTGAATCAATTTGAAATAATTGACGTTTTTTTTTTCAGTTTTCCTTGCATAAATGAAAATCAGTTATACCTCAAAGTCAATAAACCATTTACCCATTTTTTAAATAATATACTGCATTATTGAATCACTGTGTGACCTACTGAATAACTACATCTTTTTAGAAAACAACTATTAAGATGAATCAAAATAGCGTCATATGTTAAGTTAGAATTATTACAATTAGCAGACACAATTTTTGGCTCCAACACTGGCAGAATGCAGGTTTGTACTTTGCCCATGGTCTAGCTTTAAGGAAAACATCTGGACAACACACTAATTACGATAACGAGCCTGTTCTGTTGTGATGGGAGCTAGCACTGCTTTTTAACCTCTTCAAACCTCTAAAACCAAATCTGAAGACCTACTGTTTGAAGCGTTTATTTAATTTTTTTCCTGGATACATGTGCTATATTTACAGAGGTTTTGTCAAATATTTCAAGTGTATATGTCTAAATGCAAGGTGACTTTGTTTAAGCAAATTTAGGTGTTCAGGGTTATTTTTTTAGGGACAGTAAGTTTAGAGTTTCACATTTACATAATTTGGAGAAAAAACAAAAGGCTGCTGCCACCTAACAGTTATGTCATCCTGTGGAAGAATATGGTGTTTCACTGTGGTAGTTGTAGTCAGGGCATACCTTCTGCACCAGTTTATAGTCCACACTATAAAAGGCTATATAGATGCATATGACTTTGAAGGGTTTCGAGCACAGCCATGAAACGTGGCTCTGTGTGTGCTCCTGATAGCACACCGTGGACGGGTCATAGCCACACAGGGCGGTCTTCTTGTTCCGGTCTGTTTTCTCGTATTCAATGCGACAGTTGAACGATTTGGTGTCTTTGTTCTCCAATGTGGACTGCTGGGCGATCTCGAACTCCACAACCTTAGAGGGTGGCACCAGGCTGACAGAGACGTTTCCCATTCCTGTGGAGTTATGCCGGAAATAAACGCTGAACGTTCCGTTCCCGTGGTCCACGATCTTCCCAGTTATCAGAAGGTTGAGCTTGACTGTCTTGATGTTTGAGTGGAAATCCCCCCACCCAAACATCTTTTTGAATTTGCCAGTCTTCACGATGGGTCTGCGTTTAGTTCTGGCCTGTGCACTCTGAACATCTGTCTGGTTAGATAACCAGTCCCAAAAGTCCTCCGTGTTCTGTAAATATGCCATTTCCCTCATGTTGCTTTTGAGCTCCGGGGAGCCTCTGGCAAACAAACGCAGGGGGCTGAGAATCCGTGGACTTGCCCCCGTGGGAGAAATCTTGTGTCCGTTGTCACCGTCCCTCCACTCGATGAGCTCCGTGGCGCCTCCATGCACTTTCCTGCACGTGACCTACATAAAAATCAGGGGGAAGGTAGAGAAAAAAATAAAGTTAGATTAAAACTTTGCAAAATTTTTTTGGAGATTTATGAGAACCAATAAATAATTCAGAATCAATTACTCAATAAATGTTTAATTATTCATTTGCCTTTTACAGCTATCCAAAGAAACTTTAGAAAAATATAAATATGATTACATCTATTCACAGTTGATTTTCTTAGTTTCGCTATATAATTGCATCAGCAGGTAATAAAGCACATATTAAAATAGACACATCACGCCGGGCATTCAGCCTTCAAAGCAATTAAAATATGATTCACAAATATTATTTACAACCAATTACTAACCAATTATTCTTTGAAATCCTAATCATTTTTCTCTGCTTTCCTTTAACAGTACAATTTTGTCTTTCTTAAAGATACATTTCTGTTTGGGACTAAGGTAAAAATTGAAGAAATAAGAATCCACTGCTGTGGAGTAATAAAACCTGGAGTGCTAATGTAATTTGACTGTAAGCATACAGAAACAAGTTTCCAATAATGTTTAACTGATGTAACCAAATACAAATGCTAAAAGGTTTTTAAAACAATTGTGCATAAAACAGATGTAATACATATTTTTTGTGTCATTTTTGTTAAAGCAATTAAAGTGTCCAACTAAACAGATTTTTTCAAACAAAAACAAAAAATCTTAGTTTGATGCAGATGGCAGAAGATCACCCAATATCATAGTGCTATGATGTCATTCGCCAAAGTGAGGTGCTTTGCAAATTGCTAATACACTTCCTTTCACAATGTGACTCTGGTGAAGTTATGATGTGCCTGATTTGTGTTTTAAGTTGGAGTATTAATCGGTTCTAGGTAAGCTGTTGAACCCAAATTAAACTTATTTTAGCTGCAAGTCTTAGAGGGGAGTGTTGGCCTAGTGCAGCGGTCACCAACCTTTTTACCGTTGAGGGCTAATTCAGGGGCACTGAGTCACAGGAAGGGCTACCCATACTGACCTGTGAATTGCAAGGGTCAACGTTCACCTAAACTTCATACATTATAAACATATCTTTATAATTTTTATTTAAATTTATAATTTTCTTTTAGATATTTTTTTTATTTTGAAATCTCTATAAATGCTTAAATGCCATATATGATTAAATGATGAAATGTTCTATAACCCAATTAAAAAAAGAAGAGCAACAGAATACAGTGAAATTTCAAACGTAGCTCACTGTTGAGTCGTTCTATTTTCAGAAGACTCTAAGGGTCCTTGAGGGCCCCTTGGTGCCTGCAGGCACCATGTTGGTGACCCCTGGCCTAGTGGTTAGAGCCATGCGCTTGTGCGTTGAGAAGGTTGCAAGTACTTGGTTTGATCCCTGCAGCCTGCACTCTGGGTTCCTGAGCAAAACCCTTAACCCCTCATTGCTCCCCGGGCGCTACACAATGGCAGCCCACTGCTCCCCAAGGGGATGAGTTAAATGCAGAGGTAATTTCTCCAATGTTAAATCAATAAAGTTCAATTATTATAAAGTCAAAAAATAGAACCAGCTTAGAAGTGGTAAATAATTGTGGTCTGCACCTTTCTGTGCATGCCAGTCATGTCAAACAAGAATTTAGATCCTGCATGGTGAATCCTGTCTCTAAAAGGAGGAATTGCAACTTCAGGTGGGATTGCATTTTCTACCAGAAAGGAGCAGTATAAGCAGAAGTGACAAAACGTAGTTGTGGCCACATAACAGTCTGACAGAAGTTTGCAAAAATTATTCCTTCAAGCTGCATGAAGTTCGAACAAATTTTTTGCATTTACAGTTTGTTTTGAGATCAGAGCCATTTCATAGCTTTCTACTTCCCAATTTAATTCACTAGTTTTTGTTAGGTCATTTTAGGAGTCATCATTTTAATCCTCTTTATAACTTATATTTCTGTTTCAAGAGACCCAAATACATTGATTTCTGGAGCGTTCTTTTCAAATTAAATTCAAATTGTTTTTTTTGTTTGTTTTTTTTCCCTTTGAGCAACATTTGTTTAAATATTCAACCTACAGATGAAGGTATTTCAGGTTACTTGAGCAAAAATAAACTATCATGTCTGAATGACTGGTTCTGTATTAGCTGCCTAAGATTCATGTTCAATTTCTCAACTGTTTTTTTGTCAGTAAGATTTCAGAATCCCGCACTAATGTCCACCACTGTTGTGGTATCATAACATATGTCAGGCATTGCTCTAATCCAAACACTGCATTCAAATGTGTTCCATTCTTGTTTGTATCCAAACCCCTTTTTGCTTCAGGCTTGATTTCTGGTCCACTTCAGATAAAGCTGCAGTAATTCACAGCAATAGGCTTAGCTAGTTTTATTAGTAATTAGTAGTGCTCTCTCTCTCCCCAGGCCATGTTATAGGGATCACTGAGAGAAGCAGATGTTGAGAGCACACGGCAGCGGCTGTTTGAATCCTCACCGAAGATGCTGTGCACTACTCCCAGACTAATTATAATTTTGCTGTAAGCCTAACTGAAACACATGTGTACAAAGCTAACAAAGTAGGTCGTCTGGTTCAATTTGTTTTGTCGCACTCACATTACCAAGCTCTCCATCTGACACGTAATAGGGCTGCATGCATCCTATGCTGCTCTTTTATAATTACAGCTTCTTTTAAATGCTGCTTATGTCCCCCGCTGCAGTGGCACCCTAACGCCTAAAGCGGAGGAAAAAGACTCGGCTATCTGGGTATGGAATGTGAAATCAATAAGTCTGCTAGAGAAAGTTAGACTAGCCAATCCATCAGCCTGCAAAATGCTTAATTAAGACAGTTGTTTCCTGTAAACATGGATAAATGAGGCAACAATGTAATAATGTTCCCCCTGTGTAGTTCATGACAGCCACAGCCATTTAATCGACCAGGCACCGGTGGCAATATCCCCAGCAGATGCTCTGCGTTTACTAGTACCTCAAGTGAGCTCTGTTGTTAATTTGATTTAACTCCACGAACAAAAAATAACACTTCTGACCGGATGTAAAATCTGTGCAGTCCCAGCAGGAACATTTCTTCACCCTTGGAACCAAACAAAGAAGTAACTCTTGTTTTCTCCAACAACCTCAAACTGTTTTATCCATTACACAGTGCGCTTCATGCTGCGTTGCTCCAGAGGTGAAACTAAATTGTCTTTCATTGTGAATCTCAGGTGAGCTTTGTCGAGGATGATTATAATGGAAATGAGAGAGCAGTTTTAAGCATGATGAGCAACTGGGGAAATTGCTGTGACAACAGGCGGATCAGCGCAGGGATATCTAATACTTAAATGCCTTGGGAGAGATGAAGCACAGGAAACTTAAAAGCTTGTACTCAAAACACAGGCTTTTCTTTTGCCTCCTTTCTAACTGTCTTTGCCAACACCTTGTTCATTTAGGTGAGTGTTGTCGCAAAAAAAAAAAAAAAAATCTGACAAAAAGAGTATGAGTGTTAGTAAAAAAAAAAAAAAAACAAGGCAAGGTCTGATGAAGGAGAATCTACAAAAGCTTAATTAAGATTTCTTAATCGGTGCTGGAGCGCTAGAGGCATTTCAGGGGGACTTGAAACAAGACATTATTATGATAATAACTGCAGACTTCATTTCAGCAGCACGAGGCAAAGATTGGTGAATATCTGTCTGTGTGGTATGGCTTCTTCCTTTTCCTGTATGTCTGACAGAAAAACAAAGAAAAATGCATGAACCTTGCCCTGATGCAACACATCAGTTAATGTTATATCAGACTCGCTAACAAATTCTGAACCTGTGACAAGTCTTTCAAAATATATTGAATATTACATGGTATGAACATCATTTTCCTGTTACAAAACAACTCTAAATCAAGTCACAGACTTTGCATCACTGTTAACACCAAACCAAAATACTGCATATTTGCACCATATATATTTGGTTTTAAATGCTCTTAACTTCCATATTATTGCGTTTTGCACCATGTTTTTTCTCCCAATACTGTTTACATTTGATCACTGCTGCACTTTATGAAATAGTAATGTTCATTTCAGTGCTAAACTGCTGCTTATTTACTGCCTGAAAGCTATACAAAAGGACATTTAGTTTTGTGTACATTATGTGTATACAAAATGAAAATAAAAGTCTGACAAAATAACTGATTTGTATTATTAGCTCAGCTATTGCACCCTCCACTTTTGTAAGCAACCGCTCGCAGGATGTACAAAAACAGTAAAAAAAATAAAAATTTAAATCAAACATTGAAGATAGATATATCATTCTAGTGTATTCTTATCTTTGTAAAGGAAATGTCTGTGTTCACATCTTTAAGCTTTCTATCCCAGATTCTTCCGTGAAAAGAGATAACTCGGGTCAAACTATTTAAATAACACTTCATAATGTATATGTATTAAATAACCATGAGACATAACAATAGATTTTTATATAAATTGTAATCTTGCTCAGACCAGAGAATTTGCTTAGGGTCACAGAAGGCAGTGCTTACCAACTGTGTTTGCTTCTCCATGAAGCCTTTTATATAACTGCTGTATCACACCCTGCCACATCATTGAATTTTACATGTTTGTAGATGTGGACATTCCCTGATTCCAGGCATATCAAAATAAATTATCAAATTTTAGTCAGGGGATCAAAAGTAATCAGAAGCAAAACTTCACAGACCACAATTTAGGTTTTATTCAATTAAACTGGCTGTTTTAGTTTCCTATGTGCACTTTATTTTAATTTACATTAGATTAGTAAGCCATGCCTATATTGTTAATAAGGTTAAACTGATCTACTCTCATTCCCACCTTGAGGCCTCCTAAGTGTGACCGCTCATTCTTGATAAACAAATCATCCATATGTACCAACTGCTCAGTCACAGTGGGGGACAACACAGGACCAGCCGGGCCATTGCCCATCTACATAATAGGGTTGACCTTTTGGAAATCCCGCCCTTGCCCAATCTAAGCTAGATGACCCCCTTTTCAATTTGATAACTACCATTACCATCTAATTTAAGATTTTTGTGCAATAAAAATGTT